GGTCAGAAGTCGAGTCGGACGATTGACGACTCCATCACCAAGGCTCCACTCTTCTTTTGCGGCGCTGACGATGGAGTCGATGGCCTGTGCGCGTTTACGTTTTCCCGTTCCAGAGCAAGACATCCACTGACATCCGTGAATTCGAGTGGAGAATTCTCGACCGTTGTCGCGTGGCTTCAGGGTCCAGCTGCATCTCCACTCCAACTCAATGGCTCGATATTCAAAACTCCATGCCAATTGTTCCATACTTACACAGACCACTTCACTAATATACAGTAATATTAACTGTTCCTTCAGCCTCATCATGCCAGAACCCACGGCGTCTCGTGCAGACAGGGGAGAATGTACCGTCTTGTACCACGCCAACCGACATCTCCAGCCGCCAAACACGTCCGAGCAGACAAGCGGACCCATGATCCTTGGGTTCTAGAAGTCAAAGGACGCCATCGTGAAGCGAGGACCCTGAAATTCGTGCCTGGCATATCCTGGGGAAAACTGTCAACACCGAGGCTGGAACCTGTCCCTACTCGCGTGACCGCCTCCCTCACTGTCTCAATAAGCCCGTGCTCTACGCTACTCATGTTCCGAGGAACGTCGAGAACGCACGGTGATGCTTCGGTATTCAAAAAAATTTCCTTCCCGTTTTCTAGTGCCATGAGGGACGAAAAAGATTTTACTACCCAGGTCCATGCTCCGGTGCTTCGAAATTGTGACACGACATTGAATTCAGGGTCCTCGGAGATTTGGCAAGGCGACCAATCGTAGCGTCGGCGATTCCAATTTTGGCATCGGACCGTCGGGCGAGGAGGACATGTCACTGTTACTGAAAGTTGTGGATTGTTGGGCTGTGCTTGTCCTGGTGTTTTAGCCTTGGTGCCTGTTGAGTGACATGGCGATGGGGTCCAAGGAGTGCCCGATATTTGACTCACAAAAACTCCTAGCGTGGCATCTACACTTGTTCTAGAACCCGGTGCTGGCTCTTGACACCTGGCCTTCAACCAAAGGCTCCGGTATGGTTGTGACATTGATTCGGCTGAAGAAGACGGACGGTTCAACCCAGTATTAGCTCCAAATTCAAGAGTGCTGGCATGTGCAAGTAGTATGGGTTGAAGTACTCATTTCAGAGGCCAACTGCGCAGAAGGAGTGTCTAGTTGAGACACACCCTGTAGTTCATGAGCAAGTTTAAAAGAGCAGTTGTAATTGTCGCTCACACGGAAGAACCGTCAGGCGGATTGCTATTCTAGTTTACACCATCTGGGTCGCGGTCATCTGTTTCCTACGGGCAAGTCGTTAGCTATAACTTAAATCAAAGGCCTGCGAATTCTATAGTTACATCGGAGATGTCAAGTGCTCCCTAAAAATCCGAGTCGCCTAGCTGATGATTAGGCCGGGGTAGAATGGAGAGAATTGGGGTGGTGCTGAGATGGCAGTCTGTGGTCCATCTGAGAAGCTTGAGTGCTGTTCATGGCCCCTTAAACTATGAAGAATATGGTACGGGCTTCAAGCACTTTGATGTGCCTGGCTCGTTTCCCAGTCTTCTGTTACGCATGAAAAGGGCATGGCTTTGAGGCAGTAGCAGAGGAGACACTCGTGCGTAGATACTTTGACACTAGGAAACGAGGTTAAGTTTGGCTCTAAGCGGGATCTGATGATGGCTTAGGTCTGTGGAAGAGTGTCAGTATTGACAATGACTCTGTTCTTCAGGGCTCCTGTCCCAAACATGGCCATCTACATGGAGTCAAGTCAGTCGCTGGCTGTTTCTACCTACCATTAATATTTCTTATGTATAGGTCGTCTTGAAGGTAGCACTTGGTATCTTGCAACATAGAGACATGACACATCTGATTCCCATCTATGATGGTGGGAAATACTGAGTCTCCTTGGTTGCTTCGTTTGGGAGACGATGGTCTCTCCTCGCACCGACTGTGGATGGCCAACGATTTAAGCGACTTGCACTCATGATAAATAGAAGAGCAGTGGTATATCGCCTCTTTGGTATAAGACCTGGTATCAAATTACCTGAGTCGAGCATCATTGCAACTTCGGTTCTATAAGCTCAAGGGTGGCGAGCTGCCTCTTCCCTGGGTTCCTGTGATGACTGATGCGAGATTGATTATTAATGTAGCAACCCAAGTAGAGCTCTAAAAGATACTGGATATGATCATGAAAACCATAAACGACCGTGTAGTCGACAACCACCAGTGGCTGTAAGCCATCCTACTGAGTCAAGTAAAGGGAGTAATTAACGGCGCAGGCCTCGCGCCCTGGGAAATAACGATGAGAAGGACGGAAGAACAGTTATTTGAAGATTGAGGTCTATGAAAGATTGCAATATTTGTTTACTATATATATCCAAACCACAGGACGCCTTTGCTCGTTATTCTTTCAATCTTGAACCTGGACGAGGGAGGAAGAAGGGGAGTCGTAAGCATAACCCCTTTCCCAAGAAGCAACAAACGCCAAACTGAAACATATCCAACGTCAAAGTGCGTATACTCGGTATAGTCGTTGACCACATTCACGCATAGAAACCCCCGGCGCTGAGACGTCTACCACATCCTGCGCTGGTAGTACGCCGGCTCTTCCACCTGAGCCGACTTCTTGAGCTCGTTCTTGATCATCTTCCTCCTCTGCGCCCTGGTTACGGGCTTGTGGTTCTTGACGGGAGCTTCGACGTGACCTTCGGGAGTCGACATCTTTTCCACAACCTTGGACTGGAGCTGCTTCACGAGCTCAATGTTCCTCTCCAGCGCAGCGTTGCCCTCGGCACTTTCCAATTTGGCCCCAGGAAGTGTCTCCTTGACTTCGATGAGGAGACGCTGCCGCCTGACCTCGATATCCGCTTCGGTGTCGATGTCGACGACTCTTCCGTCCTCGAGCTCCTTGGTTCTTGTACGGAACTTTTCGGGGAGGTAGACTTTGGGTGACGGGCGAGTGTGACGAGGTTTTATAGCTACGCGGAGCTCGCGCAGTGTTCGTTGTTGGATGGCATATCCGCTGATGAATAGAGCCGCCGTACAGAGAACCACTGAAGAATGTCTCGTCAGTAACTGTGTGGAATGCGGGAGCTGGAATGCGACTTACCGACTATGCAGGATGCGATAATCTGAACCTGGGACGACGTGAGGAGCAATCTGGCCATCCTGATAAATAGATATATAGAGAAAAAGAAAACGCACAATAGGAGACACAAGATTGAATGGTCATGCAACCGATTAAACCTTGCGCCTCGAAGCTTGGTCGTCATGCTCATGCAGTGTTGACTCTGTTGACACGGCAACCGACCGATAAGGCTCTTATCGGTCCCGAGCTTCAAGGTTCCATCAACTTTTCCAACACCAAGCTCCGATCCAGCGACTATCAACGTTACACTCCGATTGACACGACGCCCAACATGAGCAAAAATAAAGATACCGTGCAAGCCGATGCGCGGCGCTTTCTCGATGAGCGCGGGTCTAACGCGACAATGGCGCCCAACGGCCTCAACCCCGCGACAATCATGGAAAAGGCTGTCAAGGACCGCATCGTCGACTCGTACTTTTACAAGGAGCAGTGTTTCGCGCTCAACGAAGCCGACATTGTCGACCGCGTCGTCGAGCACGTGTCGTTCATCGGCGGAACATACGGCGTCACGCAAAAGCCCAGCCCCTTCCTGTGCCTCGCCTTCAAACTCCTCGAGCTCGCCCCCAGCGACGCCGTGATGCACGAGTACCTGCACTACGGCGGCGACGAGTTCAAGTACCTGCGCGCGCTAGCGTGCTTCTATTTTCGACTCACGCGACAGGCAAAGGACGTATACGAGATGCTGGAGCCGTTTCTCGAGGACAGGCGCAAGCTGAGGAGAAGGGGTAGGGATGGCGTGGCGTTGACGTACATGGATGAGTTTGTGGATGACCTGCTGGTCAAGGATCGCGTTTGCGGTACGAGTTTATGGAAGATGCCGAAACGAGAGACGTTGGAGGACTTGGAGATTCTGGAGCCGAGGGTCAGTCCTCTTGGCGATCTAGAGGATCTACTGGAGGAGGATGAGTCGGAGGGTGAGAATGGTACGAGGGAAGAGTCTGGGGAGCTTTCGGATAGGGATGAGATGGATGTTGATCGCGATGAGAGGCCGAGGAGTCAAAGTCGGAGTCAAAGCAGGAGTCGGAGTAGGAGCAGGAGCCGTTCACCCTGAGCACACCCGGAGACGGCAAAGAACACCAACAAATGGGCCTGACATGGATCAGCACCAGCCATGTGAGATGCCGCGCCGGCCTTCCATAAACACGAATCGCCGCGCCGAGAACTCCCACAGCCTCGCCTTCAGCTGCATTGCGCCATCGCCGAGTTAGGCTACCTGTCATCGATTTCCCTTGTATCGACCCCCTCGCTGCAATATCGAGCTATACGAGTTCATGAGGAGCGTATGGTTAATCAGCCTCCAGGGGGACGGGTACGATGGTATAGGAGTTGGCAATTCGGATTGCTTCAAGTGGATGGTTGAAAGACTACACCTCCATGACGGCCAAATCATCTTAGCAACATCTGCAACGAATACCACATATGGTCGCAAAGATCACTTACTTTGGCTTTGATACTTAAGACCTCTGTATCTTTATTGTAACCAGCATCATCATGACATTAGGCCGGGACCACTCTCATAGCTAAATATCTGAATGACACAACTCCGTTGCTTTACCCCTTGGCTTTCTCTCGGAGATGACCCAAATCGAACGTTGCAAAGATATGTCCACTTGCAACTCGTCGGCATTTTAGTGAGGTGGGCAATGACCATTAGCAAGGTCATCAGGGGGGTGGGCTCAAGCATCGGACCCCTTTTTGTCGTTTCCTTCCCTCGAGATTCAAGACTATGAGACATGGGTGAAGTGACTGCTCCTCTAACATCGTCTAGCAGTGTCACAAGCTATATGATCGGTTACAGTAATCGAGTTCATCATCTAAGCCATCTAGACTACTATACACTAAGATCATTCAGTCATCGCTTTTCATTTATACACATTCATGCCACGGCCTCCTTCAACTTCTCTGCCAGTAAAAGCACCCTCTGGTCATCCCAGTATTGCCCGATCACTTGCAATCCAGCCGGGAATCGACTACCCTCAACCTTGGCGGGAACACTCACAGCCGGCAAACCCGCAAGACTAGCAGGAACCGTAAAGACATCATTCATGTACACGTCCACGCTGCTCTGCTCTTTGATCTCGTCCAACCGCGGAGGAAACGTCGGCGCTGTGGGACAAAGGATAAAGTCCACTTGTAGAGGGCCTCGCTTGTCCTCCATGCCGGTGGCTTCAGCCATGTCGCTGAGATCGAACTGCGCGGGTTCATACAGCGGGTTGTCCAGCCGGAACACGCGGTCAAAGTCCTGCTGTACCATCCGTCGGACTTTTTGTGCCTGGATAAAGTAGTTGTCCATAGCCTCGGAGCTGAGACTGTATGTACCGAGTAAAATTCGCCTCTTGACCTCGTCGCCAAAACCGGCTCCGCGGGTGTCAGAGTATAGAGTCTCGCCAACAGCGTCACTACCCTCGCCACGCTTTCCGTAGCGGACACCGTCGTATTTTGCGAGGTTGGAGGAAGCTTCAGCTGGGGCGAGGACGTAGTACGCGCAAAGGGCCTCTGTTGTAGAGGGGAGTGAGATGGGAACCAGAGTCGCACCCTGTGCTTCGAGAGCAGAGGCGGCAGCCACCCAAGCATCTCGGATGGAGGGATCAAGTTCCTCGATGTTGTACTCAAGAGGAATGCCAATATTTAGCTTGGATAGGTCGGGGAGGGTGGAAGGTGTCGTCTCAGCGCAGCGTTTCCTAGAAGCAATGGGGAGCGATGTCGGGTCACTCGAGTCATGCTCTTGATAGAGACCAGTCTTGAAGACGAGGTCATGGATGGGCTTGACTTCGCTGGCCAAGAAGCCGACCGTATCCAAAGAATTGGCGTATGGAACAACACCGAACCGGGAGATCATGCCATAGCTGGGCTTATAACCAACTGTTCCCGTATAAGCCGCCGGCAGTCGAATTGAACCTCCAGTATCTGTCCCCAGCGCAACATCGGCATCTCCAAGCCGAACAGCAACAGCGCTTCCACCAGAACTACCACCGGCTGAAACATCATCGTCCTCGGCCAATGGGTTCCTCACAGCGCCGTGGATCGAGTTTGTTGAGTGTGATCCCATGCCAAACTCGTCCATGTTGGTCTTGCCAACTATTGAAGCACCCCGTTCACGCAATTGTCGGACAACAGTGGCCTCGAATGGCGAGGGATGGGAAGAGAGGATTTGAGAGGCGCATTGCGTGGGGAAGTCGGCGGTTGCGATGTTGTCCTTGACGGCGAGTTTGAAAGGTTTCGCATCTTTCCGTAGTGGAATAGAAGAGCCTGCGGTAACAGATTCACCTAGGAATGTCAGACAGGTCCAATTGCGTAGCTTCGACTTGACATACTGCTGCCCACAAAGTGGTTGTAGGTGCTATGAGAGCGCCATTGTGCCAATTGCGCGCGAACAACGGCTCGGCGGGATATGATAGTGTGGCGCGGCGAATTCAAGGCCAAGCGGCGCACAACAGCCGCGCTCATTGTCGATTTATTACCATGAACAAGCCCCGAGACCAGAGCGTCAAGGTGTAAGTCGAGAGTTGGTATTGAAGCTCCGAAGGCGACTGGTTGGTTGGCCGAAAAAGCGGCATGAAGGCTTATCGATAAGCACCAGGCATCATCTCCAGGGTCCTTTCCATCTTCACTCCACCTTAGCTCTTAAGCTTCGACAAAACAAACCTGCCGACACGCGAGATTGCGGAAATGGCGACGAAGAGGGAGTTTCAGGAAGCCGAAGACGGCGATACACCAAAGCGAGAGAACAAGCGCCCAAAGAAACAAGGCGGCAAGGCGCGACAGCATCAGCACTCCAACATTGATCCGACATGGGGTCAGAAATATGTCTTTTCGGGTAGCGGCAACGCGACAACGGTTCCTGCGGGTGAAGAGTCCGAATTTGAGGACGACTCTGAAGCTATGGCCTATCTCAGCTCTGTAAGGTATGAAGTTTCCCCCTTGCGCTCTTCGTGATTCTTTGCTGAAGACGACCAACTTTAGAGCACGCATACTAATATGGTGAGTAAAACAGACAAGAAGCCAACGGGATCCCCCATCTACTCGTTGCCCCCAAAGTCCAAATAGGACCACAGCTCCCCGCCGACTTCGAGAGAGACGACGATGCAGACCAAAATGACGAGGGGCCTACCGATCGAAGCATTTACGAGACTGGCATCGGGGACTCTAGAGGTTATTATGAGGACGGCGCGTATGTCGGATTACCAGAATATGATGAGGAGGGTGACTACGAAGAAGGCGAAGCTCCGGAATACGAGGACGACGACTTTGACGAAGAGAGAGCCATACACGAGGCCTACTTTACGTCCCTCATGGACCAATACCTCCACCTCCGATCGGTCCTCCATACCAAACCCCCCTCGAACGCCCTCTCTCGACTCTCCCCATCGCAAGCTACCACCGCCGCGCCTTTTGGTCATCAATCGTCACCGATAGGCGTATGGTCCCGTCTGCTTCGCACCACCGATCCGCATCCCCTCCAACTCGCTCTCATGTCCAAAGACACCATCCTCCGCATCCTTCGCGTCCTACTTGGCGGTAAGTTTCTGCGCCGCGGCTATACCCTGCCTGAACGCACGAGTCGTTGGCTGTGGGCGCTTCTTGCGCGACTGCCGGACAAAGGAGAGCTTAACTACGCAGAGATTGGCTGGGTGCGTGACCTTGGTCGACGGGCGGTGCTGCTGGGGAGAAGTTTGGCCGAGATGGCGGCGCTGAGAGAGGAGCTGGCTGAGGGTGGCTTGGGGGCTCATGAGGCTGTTGATAGGAGCAGCAGTGATGAGGACGTCATGGTGGATGCAGAGGAGTTGGAGGTGGAGGGCGCCGTCAGCCCTGAGCAGGACGAAGATGATACAACCCCCCCTGAAGTTGAGGCGGACAAAGGACAGCCGCCCAAGGCGGATACACCAAAACCTCAGCCTGCGAACCCTGCGCCTAAACCGGATACAGAGGAAGGTGAGATTGACGACGAAGAAGATGATGTGGCTATGGACATCGCATCCGAATCGGAAGCTGAGGATGGCGAAGTCGCCCCTCAACCCAAGGAAGACCTAGAGGAAGCTAAAGCTCGACTACTCGCTCAGCTCGACAATGGCCCAGCTTCAGACGACCCCGACGCCGAGGCTGAAGCTGAGAAGGAGGCAGCAAAGCAACGCTCGCGAGCCAACCTGCGCGCCACACTCAACATGATCCTAACGGTCGCTGGTGAGTTTTACGGGCAGAGGGACTTGCTCGAGTTTCGAGAGCCGTTTGTGGGCATGTAAGTACGGTGGAAAGGAAGTACTTGTAGGTCACGCTCGACCAAATGTCTTAATTCCGTATAACATACAGCCAGTCCTAATTCATTTTATCCTTCACATGCATAAAAAACAACCAGCTCTGGAGCACCAATGTATACCGACAACGCCTAACACTAAATTCATCGATCAACATAACACATGTGACATGTAAGTCTTGACTGGGGAACGACTTAGGGAGTCAAGCTAGTTGGCTTGATCCATTGACTCGTCTCCATAAACAAGAAACTCGGCATCTTCAAAGTCGGGACCAGTAGCTGTGCGGCCCTGACCACCGGTTCCAAGTCTGGCTGCCTTTTGGGCTTGAGAGACGGGGATAGCATAGACTCGAGAGTCACCGTCGCCAGCCATAGTTTGAGCATGGGAGTTGACATTGGTTTCGTCATCCTCTTCGAAGAATCGCTTGCGATATGTCTCGTTTGAATCGACGCTCTCGGTACTCTCTTGAGACATTGAAAGCTCAGGAATAGCATCGACGTCTGGGATGTCGTCCTCTTGCTCAAACTCAGGCTGAGTATCAAGACCGCCGACCTTGTTGATCCCACAGAAGGGCAGAAGCTCTCGAGATGTAGCCTTGTTGGCAGCGCGGCTAGGGGTAGATGTGGGAACTGGCGCATTGTCCGTCCACAACTTGAAGGCGCTCGTCCCGGTAGTCTTGTATCCCTCAGGGACAGACTTGCGAACACGCATTCCGACACTAAGAAGGTTCGCCTGGACGGTAGACGGCAAGGTAGGCTGGCGAGCCGGTTCGGGGTTGGGTTGAGGCTCGTTGGGAGATCGAGGGTTGAAGAAGGAAGTGATTTGGCGCTGGGAGAGATCAGGAGTGCCAGCGAACTGACGCTTTACCCGAGGAGTCGACATTGTGAGAGTGTACAAGGTCGAGAGCGACTCTATGGAGATCAATTGGTGATGAAAGATGAATGCGCCGAGATGTAATGGCGTCGCAAAATTCGTCGCAATGTCTCGATGTTGTTGCACAAGAGGGCAAAGCTCAACAAGGTGTCAACAACAGAACGACAAAGCCGAGATCAAGAAAGTATAAAAAGATGGAAGAGTGGAGAGCGTCTTAATGAAGAGAAACAAGTAGTCTTCTTCTCTGATGGCAATGACGTCGCAATCGATGAAAAAGCAAGGGTCCGTGATGAAGAAAAAGAAGGAGGGGTTCTTGATTAAACGAGATCCAAAGGGAGATCGTTGCCAGGGTGAAGAAGAGGGAAGGGAAAAGGGAGGCCCCTGCCCCAGAAAGCTAAAATAGAGGCTACGACATTTCCGCAAGCAGCCACTGACCGAGCCAGAGTTTCTCACCTTGCGCTGAAAAAAGTGGAGCGTGTTCTGCGCGACCTGTTCGTGTCGCTTTCGCGTAAAGTGAAGTAATTGCAGGGTTGGCCATTGGTTGTAGAAAGAGTCATATGATATAAGCCTGCATTATCTGATCGGCGAGAAGGATCAAGGCAGTGGCAAGGAGCCATGCTGCAGGCTTTTCTCAGGATCGACAATGTCTCGTGTGATTTGCTTGGCTTTGATTGTGTTTCCCCCAAGTTTGCTTCGTCAGGGCATTAAGGAACATTCGAGTTTGTTCTAGCATTCAAGTGCAGGACATCCACAACCATGGTGTTTGTGGGCTAGGTGCTTGCATAAGCTTTTATTGAACAGAACAGCTAGATGGTTTCTTTGATAATCTCACTTACAAACATACATTGAAAGAAACATGTTGAACTGCCCGCCTACACCCTTTCCATTGTCCCGAAGCAAGTATGAGGAGATGTGGGCCTGGGCACGCGAGCTTCTCGCACGAGCTGATAAAGACCATATTAGGTTGACAAGAGCTAATTAATTAAACCAGTAACATGTAATATTGCAATAAAGGATCGAATCTATAAAGGATCCGAGGAAAGTTGAAAACTATGCCTGTTTGTGCTGCAAAATGTGACAACTCAGCAGTTGAGCCTACATCTATAGCAGTAACTCATTGCCCAATCACAGTCAACCATCCAGCTAATCATCCACAAGCTTCAGGTCCGTCTCTGCACGTCACGCTATCATGCCATTCCGCGGGGTAGTTTAGTTCCAGACGATCCGGATGGGCTGCCTGAGGCCCGGATCACATTCCCCGAGTCGAGTCATCCGGCGACTAGCATTGAGGGGTAGGTTGACACCTTATCCATGACGCTGTCAGTCACCAATCATCGAGTCAATCGTTGACACCTTGGGGGACGAATGGGTGAGCTCTACTGATGAGTCGTAATGACTCCTGGAAGGCTGCCAGGCAGCAGAGCTGGGACAGGGCGGCAGACGACCATTCACAACAGGTTATCCCTCACTACAGCACTCAATGACAGTCACCATCAGTACGACAGCAATGTGGAAACCATTGTGAATTTTCGCAAAAGCACAGTGACCATCCTCCGCTACCCACTGCACCCGGGTATGAAGCGATCATCAAGCAGCGGTTCCACGTCCTCGCGCCAGACGTTACCGGTCCAGGCGCTCGTGAAGGCCTTCTCCAGCTTTCCACCCATGCAGTGCTTTTTTTTCCTTCCTGCCTCGAGAAGACTCTTTGGTACAAGGCGCGCAACGGAAAAACAAAAGAAGAATGATGTGCCATGCAAGATATCCGGAGACCCCAAACGCCCCTATTCTGGGTGCCCCATCTTCTATCTGCAAAGAGGTTTTTGGTAGTGTTCGCAACGTCGGTTGTTCTATCCGTCCATGTCGAGGTTGTTGATTTGCAGATCCGAGATGACCACCATTCGATGAACCGTAAGAGTCATGAGTACCCAAGGAGATAAACCGCCGTGAAGCAGTCTACTTCCGTCGGAAAGAGCAGCCCTCGGTCAACCGAGCCTTACCACCGGTGGGCTGGCAGAGGACGGTGGTGCATCCCTGGCAGATGACGACGGTCTGGGCGTGAGAGAAGACGGTGGTGATGGTGAAGCAGCCGGGGCACTTGACGTCCATGAAGAAGGATCGAGGGGCGGGGACGAGGGTCTGTCGGGGGATGTTAGGTCGATTGTCGAAACATGTGAAATTTTTTGTTGCTTATCGTACCTTGAGCTTGTGCTTCTTGGCCTCGCTGGCCGCGGAAGGGTTCAGAAGATCAACGGCGAGAACCTGGGAGGCGGAGAGTCAGCCAAATTGTTCCATCATCGTGTTTGTCCCGCCCGATTGTCGGTTGCATCGTCGTCGTAATCGGCCTCGAGTTCCATCAATTTGACACTTTTGTCACGGCGGCCGGCAACATCCTCTTGTCCAATTTCCCCCCCTTCCTCACACACACGTGTCCATCGTCCATCGTTCGTAGTTCGGTTCATCGTGGGGAAAACATCAGAAAGAAGCAGTCGCTTACCATCTTGGCTGATTTTCTCGAGAAATTCTCTTGTCGGTTTTCTTGCGAGAGTGGGAAAGCTTGACGAAATCCGGGAGCAGATTTGAGGCTCGCAAGAGTGGGTGGGAGGAGGTAAGCGAGGAAAAGTTCGGTGGCTCTGAGGGGACGGGCTCTCCTTTGCCTCTGGCGGAATTTTTCGACCAAACCGGCTTAGCGTGCTAGGGTTTTCGTGCCCAAGCCACGTGACGAAAATTATCCACGGCCCACCGCCTGTCCACCGCCTGAGCCAAGACTTTTCGGTGCAACATAGCGCCGATGGAGGAGCTTTATGCACGCAATGTTTTAGTGGGGGTTGTGCACGGCGGCCAGTTATGCGCGCCGCCGTTGAGCTGCCTGACGCAGTGCGTAAGGCCGTGACTGAGCCTCGTCAAGTCTAGTAGGCTGCCATATTCTATCACTACAAATTGTTGTTGGAGCCTTGTCTTGATATTAGGTTGCTTTCCTTTACATTGCATTCGCCATGGCCGCTCCTTCAGAACAGCGTATTGCTGTGCCCATCGACGACCCCAATGCCGACACAGAATGGTACACAATTGCTACCCCTCCATGACCTAGCTCTAACCCCGCCATAGGAACGATATCCTTCGGAAACATGGTGTCATTCCTGAGAAGCCGCCGAGTCCGACGCCCATGATCGAGGAGGCCATTCTCGAAGGTCGAAGATTAGCACATGAGAACCGATTAGAGGGAAAGGACCTGGACGAGTTGGACGAGCTCGAGGATGAGGAAGACGAGGCGTTTCTCGAGTTGTACCGACAGAAGCGCATGGCTGAGTTGAGCAACCTCCAGAAAAAGGCCCTCCACGGAAGCGTATACCCCATTTCCAAGCCCGAGTACCAGCGCGAGGTTACAGATGCTTCCAAGAATGGCCCGGTGTTTGTCAACCTCACATCCTCCATGGGCACCAACGTCGAGTCCAGGGTTTTGACCGAGCTATGGAGGCAGGCTGCCAAGGAGTACGGCGAGATCAAATTCTGCGAGATCCGGGCGAGCCAGGCTATTGAGAACTATCCCGATCGAAACTGCCCGACCATCCTGGTGTACAAGAACGGCGATATTGTCAAGCAGATTGTCACCCTGATGACCATTGGTGGTGTGCGGACCAACATGTCAAAGATTGACAACCTATTGGTAGAAGTTGGCGCTGTTCCTGACTCGGATATGCGTGTGATCAAGAGGAGGCAAGCTGCTGAGGACGCCGAGGAGGAGCGCCTGGCAGGGAAGACCATCAAGACGGGGACTGCGGGGAAATCAAGAAATGTCGACAGCGATGATGATGATTGGGATTAAGAACTGAAAAAGAACTCATTCCCATCAACGTGGTCTTGGATCTAGAATTCAAGTACGATCCCAGCCCATTGTCCTATGTCTGTTGCTGAACCAACTGCAGCCATGCTGTTGTAAGGCCTTAGTGCTGGCTCGCAAAGTACCTCTACATCTGGCATGCGATGACCTGATACCATGCCGTTACAGAAGCGCAAGGGGCGACGTCGCGACGTGGGAGTGCTTTTAATTGGGGCGAGGTTCTTCGACAAGGTAGTAGTCGCTGGTATGTTCACCGTGATCTTGTATGGCCTATTGGATGAGAATCACGATGAGATATCGACATACTACCAATCTGAGAGAGGAATAATGCCCTGGCTAAGTACGCGAAGTGACAGCATATCCAGTTGCTAAGATATCGAACGGATAACACTGATCTAATGTCATTGTCAAAAATGAGGAAGACATTCCAGATAGTTTTGGATGCATCAAAACATATGCCAGATATATTGTCCCACGGATGAAGCATCCATACCAAGTACCCAAATCGGGAATATGAGTAACATGAAAGGTAGTTGGCCAACCACACAATGTAGATGTAATACTCCCATAAGCTATCATGGCGAGCCGCCCAGCATACCACATTCATCCAACATGGCCAACGCAGCATCCTTACGTCCCATCTCCCATGCCTCGTAGATCGCGCCCCAGCGAAGGGCACTGCATTTCATGTCGTGCAGCGCAGGAACATCTGCCGTGATTGCCCTAACATAGCTCTCAAGGTGATGAACCTGAGCGGGGGAGTCGTATTGAAGTTCGTCATCTTGGTCGATCGCGCAAAGGACAGGTCTGTTGGGATGAGTCCACTCGATGTGGGTAAAAGAAGGTGCGGAAATGGTTCTCCTTAGTTCAGCCAAAGAACTTGCTTCAACTGCTCCGGTCTGGACTGCCCAGCGGAGAAGGGTTGGGAAAACAGCTTGGCAAGGCTGAACCCATTCGTCTGGTGGCTGGGGCAAGAAGAAGTTTGCCTCGTCTCGAGCATCGCGCCTAAGGCAAGTATTAGTTCAGTCAATGCTGTATTCGCAATTGCAATAACAAACATACCTCTGTCCATTGCGGTAGGCAATTGTGATGCGCACCTGAGGCTTTGCATTGGGGCGAGGGGTCTTGCAAACAGATACGTGCTCCTAGCGCAGGCATGCTTCTTCAGACCCTTCAGGAGCGGCAATGTCAGCCACTCTAGCCCCCGTCCATTTGAATATCAACATGGTCAAGACTTTGAGGCAGGTCTCGGGGTTGGATAAGGGGTCGGGATTTATCCCCCAGTTCATAAAGTGAACTATCAACCGCTTAACTGAGGAGCCAGTCACAAAAATAGCAGTGCCTCGAGCCTTGGTTACTCGTGTCACCGGCACGGTGCCATACTTGCTATTGCTCGTCAGTCCATGTAGTAACTGTAAGGAATTCGGCAACGTTGCATACCTTCCGGCTGAATCAATGATGTCGTACTCGACTTCGTGGGTGCCCATCCTGAATCGCGAATTGGTGACCCAGGCAAAAAGTTAAGAATGGTTGGAGAAATCAAAGCTTGCGTTTGGGCAGTTGAATAGAAGATAACAGATGATTAAGGAAGAGGATTTAATGAAGTGCTGGGGACTCGGCGGTGGTTCCTGGTAATTGCGAAAGATGGAAGGTGCACTCCACGTGAAGAGATGAAAGACAAGACACCACGGCGGAATGAAATCAGATGAACCGTGCAATTGATTCTGAAAAGGTGACAACCACGTAATGATGGCGACGGGGGAAATGTTGAAAGAGAAGCATGCAGCATAGGTAGTCGCGAATCCTGCTCCAGAGGAAGTCGTTGGGAAGTGGCGCCGTTCTCGGAACCAACGCGAGGTTATGTTTCAGAGTTCAGAGAGAGACAGAGCGGCAGCGGGTGGGAGAACAAGTTTCTATCGGACTTTTGTTTCTCTTACTCGACAAACCTTAGGTAGGCATTAGGATCCATTGGCATGGATCGCAAACATTGAGCACCCACTACTAACTCAATGGCTGCCTGGTTAGGCGCTGATGCTGGACCTGCTAAATAATCTCACAAAATCATTCATTCCATGGATGTCTTGCTCGCCAAGTACAAGCCCGGTGCCATCTCGACACATGTCAACGGCATTACACAAGCTTTGAGCGTGGAGTGGTTCAACGCGGCAACCCCGGTATTTGCGTAGAGAGGCACGTGCTGGTCAATGAGGGGTCATTTCTCACCATCCGCGACGCGTACCATCAAACGAGGCCAAGAAAGCACCCTTGCAACCGTCAATTGGAATCACCGTTATCTGATCATCTTATCAATCCGTAACCTTCCCCTTCCCGTCCCTGGTGTGCCCCCTTCCCGCGGGGGGTCTCGGAAATTCGGACCCTGGAAACCAGTTCTACAGGGGGCACGTGCACGCCCGGCAAACGTGCAGCTCGGTGCGTCAGTGGGGCATGAACCCTGGTATTTCGTCGTCACTCGGCGTCGCGCTCCCCGTCACGTCGGGACAAGAACCCCAGCCCAACCCAACCGCTTCAATTTTCCCCTCTTGTTCATATTCGAGTATTTATTCTCTGTCTTTATTGTGTGAGCTCTTTTACCGAGTCACCTACATATTTTATTTTTCAGTTACAATGGCGTCTGAAGAGCTGTCTTTGCCTCGTCTTCCCGGTGTCTCCTGGGATGAGCACTCTCAGAGCTTCTCCAACAACCCTCGCAAACGCGTCCGCAATTCCACTTCCAAGCACGCGCCATCTCCCGCCTTTAATAATTCAAGTGACCCGGCCATCTTCTCCAGCGATGATGATCCGGCCTTGGATAATTATGTAGAGGGCAGGCGCAAGAAGCGCTACGTCGGTTCTTGGTTCCAGCAGCATCCTACCTCGTCTGACTCGACCTTTGGCGGGGACAGCCGCGATACCATTCACGTCACCAAGCAGAGACGCGCTTGGTCGCGACAAGCAGACAGTGGCGTGTTCCTCCCCAGTGATGGTGATGGAAATGAGAGCGACGATGTTATGGACCTCCCTGAACCCCCGAAGCCGCGGCTTCCGCAGCTCAACCGCGTCGTGCGCCGCGTCTCCAAGGCGGAGCAAATGGCTCGCGACAAGGTCCAAGCCTGTCTCGATCAAGGCGAAGAGACAATTGACTTTTGGTCAATGGGATTGGAAGACATCTCCAATGATACCATCAGTCCTTTGTCGCAGTTCACCTGCATCCCTGTCGTCACCAAGGATGTCGCCTTTGAGCAAAAGGACCCTGAGCTCAAGATCTATATGGCCATGAACCGGTTGACTCGGGTTCCCGGTACCATCTTTGATCTCACGCATCTCACTATCCTCAGTCTTCGCCACAACAAGCTTACCGAGCTTCCGTCTGCAATTGCCAAGCTTCACAATCTCAAAGAGCTCAACGTTTCACAGAACCGGCTGCGACATCTGCCTGTGGAACTCCTCGATCTATTCTCGTCAGACAATGATCTTCGCACCCTTGTTGTGCACCCCAATCCATTCTGGCAGCCAAGTGACCAATTGGTGCGGGTTTCAGAAGACCAAATTGATAACTCGCTCTTTTCTTACACACCAGAGTCAGAGTCCTCCCAATTGCCCCATTTGGTGAGCAGGGTTTTGGGTCGCTCCCCCCTGCAACTCTCCAATACGACAGGCAGGGTCATATCAGATTTCAAGTTTCCCACAGACCATACCAAACACATTCTTCCTGTCGACGATTCAGAGTCTGACAGCTCCACATCCTCTCCAGTCTCTGCCACTCCCAAGTCACAACTCCAAGCGAGTCGTGTCCCGAGCCTCCTTGAAACAGCCCTCCGAGCTTGTTATCAAAGTGCTCAGCTCCCAGAGATGCCATACTACATCCCTGACGGCCTCACCCACCTGCGGAAGCTTCTTGAAAGGGCACAACGACAGAAGGATGCTGGTGGCTTGACCTGCTCGCGGTGTCGCAAGTTTATGGTTATCCCAACTGTTGAATGGGTCGAGTGGCGGGAGATCCGAACTTGCAAGATAGCTGGTTCAGAAGCGCCCGAAGTCTTGCGTATGACGCCGCTGAGTATGGCTGAGGGTGAGAGGACTGTGCCGTTTGTGTATAGAGGATGCTCATGGCGATGTGGGCCGGGGGGGATGGATAAGGCAAGTTGGGGCTTGCCATCTGGGGAACTTCATTCACTTACAGCGGATGTTTGAGCGTTTAAGCATGACTGGGTAACGGCGTTTTTGAATATGGCAGATTAAGCGATTTGCGTGTATATGACTGGGGGCTTTGGGTATGGGGCCTTGGCTGTTGAAACCATTAACATCTCTAGAGATTGAGATATATGAACCCTATATTGGGTGGTACAAAGTTGGGGGAAATAATGATTGTGATTTACCTCCTACCTACACTTGTCTACAGCTATACGGTATAGCCCTTGAGTGAAAATGAGGTCCTACTGTGATGACTCTTTCGTCAAAGCCTTATCGCAATATTCACAACCAAAGGGCTGCGTGACCTCTTCAAGGAGGTTCCTGCGATGGGAGTAGGTTCAAGTTCACGACAGACATGCTACCGCCTGTACCTATAACAAACACTTGACTTGTACTGTCGACTTACACGCAAGGTATCGCCCCCTGTCGTGTTGGCTGCGGCTCTTACATCGCCGGGGCTGCATGCATAAAACTGCCCCATATCTATACGCCACACATTAGTTCCCGGTCCGTGGAGGTTCATCATCCTCGATGACATATCCAAGATATGCAGGCCGTCTTGGCTTGCAAGGGTGAGGTTACCAGCTGGGGGGTAGAGGGCTTTTTTCTAATTGTGGTATTTGTAATCGAGAAGACTATCGTTATTGTCCGAGGGAAGTAGTTCCTTCTTGGAGTCTCGAGAGCCATTGCGCTCTGAGTGTCATTGAAGGATGTTGGCGGTGAGCTCCGAGGGCGGTGTACAGCTCGTACGATCCCGGAGAGAGCAATGTCAGCATTGATATGCAGCAGAGTAGTCGCTCTCAAGCAGAATACACTCTTATCTCGAACATCGGGTCCTTCCCTCTAGTCATTGTCTGAATATGTTGGCTCGCAGCCACTCATGTCGACTATCGATGCTGATGCCACAACTACTCGCCGTGATGCCTATCCATCAACCGCCTTTTGACTTGAACGTGTCTGGATTCAGCTGAACGTTTTTAAACTATATTTCTGCTTCAAGGCGAGCTGGAAAAAAAAAGTCTCGTCAACTGCATGACCGATACTCCGGGCACCACGGGGTAGAAGCTTGTTGTCTTGGTCAACTAATCACGAGTCACGCATACAAGCATCGTGTTCCGAGACAGATGCGTGCAACCCAAGATCTCCAACTTGAGTAACTTGCAACCAAATCACAAGAGCGTTCCCTAGGTGCATAGAATCCTGCCATCATGGGGCCCTATCGAACCGGCGTGTCATGCCTGCTGACGCACACCACCACGAATAGTGCATGAGGACAGGATCGGTGTTGCAATCTACAACATCAAAGACCTAGCGCAAATATGATTAAAGACGTGAGAATAGAGCTGAGTGTGTGTCAGAAGAGCAAAAATACTATTCAAGGTGCTCGGCAGCAACCAACTATCAAATTGGAACAAAGGCAAAAAGAAGGTCTCGGAGGGAGTCGAACCCTCGCTGGCGGAATCAGAATCCGCAGTCATAGCCGTTAGACCACGAAACCAACTGATGACTTGACGACCCAAAATTGGGGATTATGACCACTGCCACACTAACCTCGCAACTCTAAAACGCACGCCGGACCCAAGATTCCAGATTCTTTCTTTCCCGATACAGATCTCACAGTATCTCTATAGTTTATATCTAAAGATGCGTTCTTCACATGTCTAACAGTAACACTTTCTGTGATACACCCAACGCCAGTGATTGTGACATGGACCCAATTGGACGTGGGCCGACAAGGTTCCTGTCAACCCCCACAGTTTGCTGTTCCATCAGCCCTATCTCTGTTACTCAAAGCCAACCGACGACGCTCGTTGTCGTTATTTTGACAGACAGCTTGGTTGACAGTAACAATTGAGTACAGTTGCACGCTCTTGAGCCGCCCCTCCCCCAGCAATCTTCCCCATTGTCCTTTCTTCCCTATCTCTTTGTGGGGATCTGAGAAAAAGCCTGGTGGAGACATTCACTTCATGGACATGAGGAAATGTTGCTCATCAAGCGAATTCATTATTCGGATTTACGGAATAACAATGAGACAACAGTAGCTCGAGTCCCCATAGCAGCTTAGCTCATGATTATACATTTATATCAAATACTTATTCAGCGCAATTTCCCATGGAAGTCTTCCCTTCTTTACTTTTGGGAATGGCCTTGACGTGTATCAACATCTCACCGGGAGCTGTGTAAGGGCAGATTGTGGTCCGGATTTACGGAAGAGGGAATTCAAATCAGAAAATCAAGGAATATATAATCAAACAAGCCCATAGAAGCTACAGGAATTCCCAATGAGGCTCCCGCG